TGGGCCGAGCGCCGCTGGAGTTGGCGGTCGTGTGGATGCAGGGCACCGTGCTGGTGGTGGAAGGCGGCCAGGCGCGGCTGCGCGACCCGAGCGGGGCCTTCTCCGTGCGCGGCCTGGAGCGCGTACCGCGAGGCCGGCCTTGCCTGATTCCAGGTAAAGGGGGCCAGACCGGCTCTGCAGGAGGCTGTCCCTCGCGGGGGCGGGGCGGTCCTACCTCCAGTCATTCTTCCTCCTTCCTGTCCCAACCCCAGTCAGGTGACTTCCCAAACCTGTCGAATGACTGCTACACCTGTCACCACGTTCAAGAACGTAGGTTCCAACCTGACCTGGTGGTGCACACATTTCATCCCAATACTAGGAGACTGAGGCAGGGGGATGGCAAAGTTCAAAGCCTGTCTGAGCTACTGAGTTTGAGGCCAAACAAGGCAACTTAGTGAGAGCCTTTTTCAGAACAAAAAGTAAAGAGGGCCTGGGATGGAGCTCGCTGGTACAGCACCTCCTCGCATTGATGAGGCCCAGACGGCAAAAATAATAAACAAATAAATCAATGAAAATACGTCTAAGTTCCCGAGCTCCCCCAGTCATGCACCTAGTTTTGAGCTTTGGGTTTCTCTGTCCTAAGTTCCCTCCCCATAGATGTTCTTCATTTCCCCCATATGTTTTGAGAAATAATGTCATGGGAAATTGTGCATGTCTTTTTTCTGTTTGTTTTGAGGTAGGGTCACACGTAGTCTAGACTGACCTCAAATTCCTTTTATAACTGAGGGTGACCTTGAACTCCTGAACTTCCCACTTCCATCATTTGAATGCTAGGATTACAGACAGGCAAACGTTGTGCTGAGGGTCAAACCCAGGGCTTTGTGCATATTAGGCAAGCAATCTCCCAACTGAGCAGTATCCCAGCCCCACGCCTGTACATTTTTAATGTTCCCAAACAAGTGGACCTTCATCTGGGAAAGCCGCCATTACCTGGAGGGGTTGGGAACACTTTTCTACGTTTCCTACTGAGATAACATAACTGTGGTTCACAGTTCTTAAACAGCTGCTGCCTAGGGGTTTGTTGAAGCCCATCCCCTCAGGTTAAGTCTCCAAGACTTGTTTCTCATATGCTCCAAGGAGATGCTGATCTTGCTGGGTTTGAGGCTACCCCCTGAGCTACTACTGTGTCAGGACTGTGGTCCTGACAGCTTGACCCTAGCCTCTGGTCATGACACCCAAGTGTCCTGAGAACCTGATGGCCTAGGACACCCGCACTGGGCACCAGGAGTCTCACTTCGCTGACCAGGAGTCAAGGGAACGAATCATACATGGCGCCTCGTGGGAGATGCTAGGCTGCAGCTGTGACCCAGATAGACAAGACCCGCCTCTGCTTGACACTGGAGCTTCAACACAGACTCGGGTTTATGAAGGAAGCCTATGGATTCACCAGGTCTGCCTTTCTGGGGCTTCCTTCTCTGTGAAGTCAGGCCAGACTCTAAGAACGCTTTCTGCCGAGACAGTGTGGGATTGTCTAGATACAGACTAGGTTAGGAGTCTGACCTGGGCTGTTTTAAACTCAGACTTAGGTTACCTGTTCCGCGCTTTCTCTTCCTCCCCTCTCCTCCCCTCCCTCTTCCCTCTCCCCTCCCTTCCCCCTCCCTTCTCCTCCCCTCTCCTCTCTCTCTCTCTCTCTCTCTTCAGTCTTATTCTAATTTAGGACTAGCAACTAAATGGATTGTAAACCAAAAGTAGTTTACACACACACATACACACACACACACACACACACAGAGTTATTGGAATCAAGCTCAGTGCCTTACCCACTGAGCCTATCTCCAGACTCAGCTTTTACATTTATTTTAAAACTTTTTGTCTGTTTTGTTTTGTGATGGATTTTTCTGTGTAGCCATAGCTGTCTCACTCTGTAGACCAACCTGGCCTCAGACTCACAGAGATCTGCCTGCCTCTGCCTCTGCCTCCCGAGTGCTGGCATCAAAGGCGTGCACCACGATGCGTTAATTGTACTGATCAAAAATTAGGTCACAATTCAAAGCCAAATTTAAAGCAAGATTTAGTTAAATACTGGCCAAGTGAATGGGCTCTGGCCAGGTCCTTCTCTGGTTTCCCAGAAAAAAATGACCCCAAGTCACGGCTTACATCTGTTGGATCCCGTCAGATCCAGTCAGGGGCAAGTGTTCATCTTGATGTATCTCCAGCCTAAATCCAGGCAAGCTTACAACCTGATGTATTTCCTGCCTGTGAACCTCCCATCCACCCAGCACATCCAGTGCGGATGGGGCAAACAAACTTGTTGAGGGGAGTGAAAACACGTGGCTTGTTATCTCTCATAAACAGCAGCCCCCAGCATCTCAGGAACTGTCTGTCCTTGGGCAAGGGGCCTGCAGACCAGAGGCGTTTTGTTTCATGGATCCCTAAGATATAATAATTAAAACTTAAGATGTAACTTTGGCTCTCACACGTGCCTGGCTCTTTAAAACTATTTTTGTTACATCTTATTTATTTTGAGTAAGGGTATATGTGTGTGTGTGTGCACACCATAATACTTAGGTGGGGATCAGAAGACGTCTTGAAGTTGGTTATCTCCTTCCCCTGTGTGGGTCCCAGGGACTGCACTCAGGTTGTCAGATTGGTGTGTCTGGCATTTATTTGGGGTCAGTAGATTCAGAATTAGGCACCTGTTGAACCATCTCACTGGCCCAGGTCACATTTTTGTTTGTTTTGAGACAGGGTCTCATACTGTAGCCTTGGGTAGCCTGGAGCTCACTAAGTAGATCAGGCTGGCCTTGAACTCAGAGATCCCCTTGCCAGAGCAATGGGATTAAAAGCGTGTGCCTGATACCTGGACTATGTTTTACATTTTGTGTTTTTTTTTTAAAAAAAAACTTTAACTTTATTTCATGCATTGGTATAATGATGTCAGATTCTCTTGAACTGGGGCTACAGACAGCTGCGAGCTGCCATGTGGGTGCTAGGAATTGAACCCGGGTCCTCTGGAAGAGCAGTCAGTGCTCTTAACCACTGAGTCATCTCACCAGCCCCCTGTTTTACATTTTGATGTGTCTAAAAAAACAGTCACAATGTGTGAAAAGTATATGCAGTTCAAAAATCAGCATTGCAAGGGAAGTTTTATTGACGTGAAACACATTTGTAGTTTATAAAAGGTTAGTGTCACCATCTCACTGTAGTGGCAGAGTCCAGGAGCTGTGACCCACCAAAGCCTGACTTATGTAGTCTGGTCCTTTACAGAAAAAGTTGACTGTCCTTGGCCTTAGCTTTGGCTTTGCTCACATTCCATGGTTTTTGGTATCCCAGCTCAGGCAATGTTCCTTGAGGTCAGCCTTAGGCAGTGTCTCAAGCCTGGTGCCACAGTGGGAGTGAGCCTGGCACCCAGCAGATGTCCCTGTGTTGGACTGAGTCTGCTGGCCTCACCCTCTATCCTGTATGCCCAGGGGCAGGGCCCATGCTCTTTCCTCTTGCTCATTAATCATCTCACCAGGAACCAGGGATGTAAACAGGCCACTAAAACACAAGGTACGATTGTAGAAGTGCCCAGCCTGTATGTACAGGGGTGATGGCTCTTCCTTCTATTTGAGTGGCGCTCACAGTACCTGCTTGGTACTGGATGGTACAGTGTTTGTGAAGTAGAAAATTCCCAGCAAAAGCACGCCCTGTATTAACCATTGCTAGCCTCAGGAAACCTGAACTTTCAGCTGCAGAGCATAGAGAAACTTTTGTCTGGCTGGCTCAATAGTTCATCTGGTATTTATTTAGAGTCAGTAGATACAGAATTAGGCATAGAAAAAGGATACGTGTTCAAGGTTCAGAGGATTCAGGGAAGGCTTCCTGGAGGAGACAGCCCTGAAAGCTGCATTGTTGTTATCTGTAGGGACTAACCCTCTTCCTTGGGTTGTTGGGACTCATGATATTCAGTGTCAGAATTAGGACATTCTGTGTCTGTACAGTAGTAGATTGTCAGCACCCTCAAACAGCATGTTCAAAGGCGGGGGTGGGGGGGAAAGAAGGGCCGGGACAGGGCCCCAGAGGGGCAGCAATGGCCCGGAGGCAGGGAACGAACAGGGACAGGGCCCCAGGGGGGCAGCAAAGGCCAGGAGGCAGAGGACAGGGCCCCAGGGGGCAGCAAAGGCCAGGAGGCAGGGGACAGGACCTCAGGAGGCAGGGGACAGGGCCCCAGTGGGCAGGGTACAAGACCCCAAGGGACAGCTCTGAAAGGCTGCAGTTTAGGAAGGATCTGTTCACTCTAAATGACCTTGATGCCTGCTGGTTTGTTGCTGCCTGGCTCCTTCCTGCCCTGCCTCTAGGCCTCTCCAGTCTCTGAAGATACAGTGATGTTGGGAATTCTAGTCCTCATTCTGCAGACAGTGGTGCTTACACTGTGTTGTGATGGGGAGGCTCTTGGGCAGGAGTACTGTTAGTGGTTGGGAGGACATTGCAGTCGTCCAAGCAGGAGAAGGTGAAGGCTTGACCTTGAGCAGGGTCCTGTGAGGAAGAAGTGGAGGGCATCACGTGTCCCTGCAGAGAGATATGGGTGCATGGGCTAAGCACTGTAGTGTCTTCTGCCTCCAAGTTCCACAGAGCCGGTCTGCCTCACTGGTCTTCAGCCTTGTAATTCTAATGGTTTCATCTTCACCACCAGTTGGGGCCATGTACAGAGAGGACAGCCAGTATGGCACCCAGAGTTAGAGCCACAGATTCTCAGGTGGACCCTGTCAGGTGAAACATGGGAGGGATGGGCAACCTCAGGCTTGGCTTCTTTCATTCTAAGCACTGGGCTTGTGTGCAAACTCGTGCCTGATGGTGGAAGCCAGGCATGCAGGGGGCTGGCTGCATGCCTTCCCTGCCGTGACAAGGGACTTTTTACAAAATTGCATTTTGTGTGGTTTATGACTAGCCAAGTTGCGCTTTCAAGGAGAGGCACTTCCCCCAGGGAATGGGAAGTTGTGGTTACTATGTCAGATCATCCAGTGGCAGCCTGTTCTGTTGATTTCCCTGTGTGCCCAGTGTGGCTTGGGATAAAGTTGGGGGTGGCAGGGATTGGAACAACAGTACAGTGTGCTGTGGCTGGCGAGAGGAGGGGTGTGCTGATGCCTGGCCTAACTTTTTTGGCAGTGTAGGGGGAAAATTGGATTTACATTTCGGCTGTCAGGAAGTGGCTTTGCAGGAGTACCCGTCTTGTGAACAGGGACCAGTCACTCACTCTGGCATTGAGCAATGAACAAGACTGAGAGCATAGCTTGGGTTTTCTGCCCCTGCCTGGGGCAGTGTGTCTAATTATAACTCAGTGGGCTCCAGAGTTGCTTGCGTTCCAGAAGCATGACTGCTGAGTGAGCTGCCTGTTGTGTTAGCATATGAAAAGCAGATGCCATAGATGCAGATGCAGTCCTCCAGGTTAAGCGCTGACCTCATTGTGCATACATGTATCTGTTTTGATCCCTGACTGCCTTTGTTTTGGTATCTACTGTCAGGATTGTGTGAATGTGTGCGAATTCTTGTGTGGGAGTGTGCTTACAGATGCTGGTGTATGTTGAGCCAGAGGTACATCAAGTGTCTTCCTCGATTGCTCTCACCCTGTTTTTTTTTGACAGGATCTCCCACTGAACCAGGAACTTTCTGACTGGGTTGGGCATAGAACCCCAGGGATCCTACTGTGTCCATTTCCTTACCACTGATCACATGTGCATATGCACTGCTATGCTTTTTACGTGGATGCTGGGATATGAACTCAGGTCCTCTAGCTTGTATGACAAGCCGTTTACCAACCAGGCCCTACTCTCAGCTCCTCTTCCCCTTATTTTGCAGGGCTAAAGATCAAACCTAGAACTTAGTACATGTTAGCATGAGCTTTGCCTCTGAGCTGTGCTCCCCAAGCCCTAGATAATCTTTCTGTGTCCATCTTCCTTCTCTGATCAAGGTCTTGGAGTCAGGGTCTTTGTGGGTTGTCCCTACCTGCCATGGTGATGGTCATACTTTTTCCTCTCTTCCCAGGAAAGTATGTGATGGTGATGGGTGTAGTCCAGGCCTGTAGTCCTGAGCCCTGCCTACAGGCTGTGAAGATGACGGATCTTTCTGACAATCCTATCCATGAAAGCATGTGGGAGCTGGAGGTGGAAGACTTACACAGGAACATCCCTTAGAGCTGAGACCCTCTAGGAACATACGAACAGCTTTCCTCGGAGGGCTTTACACCATGTGGGTCTCGGGGACATCACAGAGATTTGATGACAACTCAGCCCTCCCTCTGCCCAGGGCTTTGGCTGCTTGCGGATGAGAAGCAGATCTCCGGCCCTTTTCCCTTTTTGTCATTTATGTGTGTTTGTTTTTCTCTCTGAGGCATATGGAAATCTCATGTTGCCGTCTCTGGCTTGGCGAGGGGTAACGCTTGCTTCTTTAAGATGCACCCTCTGGGTTTCAGTTACTGACAGTGGGATTAAAGTGTGTTTGTGGACACGAGGACACTGGCGCCTGTCTCCCCGTCTCCAGCCGCCAGCCCTGTGCAGCCAGGCTCTCTCTGCTCCAGTGCACTCATTCCTCATTGTCCATCTTCCTCAGATTCAGAAGGTGAGACCAGCTGTTAGAATGGTGGGAGTGGTCTTAGAATTCTTTGTTGAAATTAAAAATCTAAGGATGGAAACAGACTTTTTAAGTACCTCTGCTTCAAAACTTTTGCAGAGAGACAGCCAGAGAGTGAGTCCTGACCTTTCTACATGAAATGCCTTTCTGTTGGGATTGTACCACTGTTGGGCTTTGGCGTTGCTGTTGCCAGACTAGGTTCCTGTTCGGATGGGAGAGACCAAGGCAGCCCGAACTGTGTTCTTATACTGCTGAGCACTTTGCCCAGATGATCGATATTCCACCATTAGTAGCATTTCTGTATGGCTAGTTTTTAAAAATAAGCTTGTTTGTTTTAAAGACAGGATAACCTCAGATTCCAGACCTTCCCATGTCCTCTTCCTGAATGTTGAGATTACAGGTGTGCACCACCACGCTTGCCTTCTGCGGTACCAGGGATTAATCTGGGTTTTTGTGCATGCCAGGCAGACACTCTATTAATGGAGCCACATCTCCAACCTGAACTGTGGTTTGTTAAAACAGTTTTCAGAAAAATTGAACAGACTGTATAGTGTTCCCGAAAATGCCATTGAACCTAAAGCCTTGTGCATGTTAGGCAAACACTGTCACTGAACTAGAGTGCCAGCTCATTGATTTTTAAGACAGAGTCCTAATGTCTCAGGCTCCCGAGTGCTGCAGTCCCAGGCCCACAGCTCTCTTCCAGACACCCCCACACCTGACTAACCTGTGTCGCTGTGAACGTCAGGAGGTGCTGACCAGCAGATAATCTCACTTGACAGGAGAGGACACCCAGCGGTGATCTAGACTTGCCCCTTCCTGTCCTCCCCCCTAGAAAAAGCACCCAGGCCTTGAGCTAATTTGTTGCTCAGACAGGTCTCATAATATCGTCTTCCTGCCTCAGTAGCTGGGATTGCAGGCTGGTTCCTCCGGCCCTGCTTACATGAATGCCCTTTTGAAAAAGATTTTATTTTTAGGTGTATATGTGCGTGGGGTGCCTTTGGAGGCCAGAAGAGAGTGTTGGTCATTTATCAGCCCCATCCAGGCAGCTCACAACTTCTATAACTCCCTGTCGCTCCCGGGAATCTGATTCCTCTTTAGGGCCTCTGAGGATACACCCACAACATGGCATATAGATTCACATGCTCACAGACATACACATAAATAAAAATAAATTAAAAACATAATGAGAAGGCTTAAGACTAGAAATAATGAATGGCATTGGAGATGGATTTTGGAGTCCGTGGGGTCTCTTCCACCTAGCTACCTCTCAACTCCGCTGAACTCTAAACCGTCCAAAGTGTCTATGCCCTGGTCAGTCCCATTGTGAGACCTCTCACTGGTGAGATGCCAACAAACACCTGTGCCCTCCTCATAGGACACCAACAACAAACCAAAGTATGAGACCATTGGGATCCAGCGTGGGGAACCAGTGAGTTTACTGGGTTAACTTAGAAAGCATGGCTGAGGTGTTCTTACCGGAGCATGGTGACCTAACCAGAAAGTTGACCCCTGCATGGATGAGCACCTCCCCAGAAATGCACAGATAGAATCTCCTTCAGTTAGCCTTCCACAGAATTTACTCTAGCACCTCCTGAGACTGCAAGGCCATGTGCAGTGAAGGCAGAAAGACATACAAATGGCCAGCACGTGCAGGACAGAGTAGTTGGAGTCCCCTACTCCTCTGGGAGAATGACAGCATCAACAAATCCAATCTCAGGATGTCCTAGAAGTAGTCAGAGCTACTCTGAGGAAGATGAAGGAGGGTAGTACTCTACAACACCATGGAAACACTGCCAGTTGATTCATCTTCTGTGGGACCAAATTCAGGTCTTCTAGAAGGAGCGGCAAGTACTCTTAACTGTGAACCCCATCTTCAGCTCTCCAGATGCAGTTTTTCAAGTGGAGCCCATAGTTTACTGTTGGGTTCACTTGCACGCTCAGTTCTATAGGTTTTGCCGGGCACGTCATGACATATTTTCTATTGCAGTATCAGACAAAAGAGTGTCCTGCCCTAAAAGTCCTGTATACCACCCATGCACCCCTTCGCCCAACTGCCTCACTTTGCCTTCCCTGATGGGCCTGCCGTGTAGTGCCTTGCTGAATGTTCATGTGAGGCTCTGCCATGTCCTTTTCCTGCCAGAATACCCATTTTTCTTACAGGGCTCCACTGCCGGTCAGCACATACATATCCATGTATCCAACGTGCCCATTGAGTGATATCTTGTTTGCTGTTGGTCACAAATAACTCGTGGTACAGGTTTAGTGTGGAGAGTTTGCAGCTCAGCTAGGAGGAGTGCAGCTCCAGGAAACACGTCAAACCCATAGTTAGGCTCGTAAGAAACTGCCAAGCTCACATTATTGAATTAAGTTGTTCGTTTTATTTGATTTGATTTTTTTTCCTGAGGCAGAGTTTCTTTGTGTAGCCCTGGCTGTCCTGAAACTCATTTTGTAGTACAAACTGGCCTTGAACTCACAGCATCCCCCTGCCTCTGCCTCCCAAGTTCTGTGACTAAGGGTGCTAACATTTTCCTTTATAGATAAACCAAGTTGGAAAGTGATCTGGGTTTGACTGCTGAACATTTTTTTTAACATATATTTGTATTATTTATTTATTTCGTTTTTCGGGACAGGGTTTTTTGGTGGTAGTCTTGACTCTTCTGGAACTCACTTTGTAGACCAGTCACAGAGATCTGCCTGCTGCTTCCCCAGTGCTGGGATTAAAGGCATGTGCCACCACTGCCCTGCTTATTTTTATTTTATTTTATTATTGTCTGTGTATATGTGCATGTGTGTGCATATGTACATGCACGTGTGTGAGTCTAGAAGAGGGCATTGTATTCTCTGGAGTTACAGGCAGATGTGAGCAGCCCTATGTGGGTGCTGGATAGGAACCCAACTCAGTTCCTCTGGAAGAGCAGCAAGTGTTCTTAACTGCTGAACCATCTCTCTACCTCTAATGTATATCTTCTGAGCTACAGAAAATTGCAAAAATATACCATTATTATTATTATTATTATTATTATTATTATTGAGACAGGGTTTCTCTGTGTAACTTTGGTGACTGTCTTGGAACTAGCTCATGTAGACCATTCTGGCCTCAAACTCACAGACATCCGCTTGCCTCTGCCTCCCTAGTGTTAGAATTAAAGGTGTGTGCCACCACCGCCTGGCTAAGTCTTTATTATTTTTATTTATTTGTTTGTTTGCCTATTTATTTACATGTGAGGCATGATGTCTATAGCCCAGTCTGTCCTGGACCTCGTGATCCTCCAGCCTCAACTTCCTGAGTGCTGAGATGACAGGTATGCACCACTAAGCTTGGTTGATATAGTGGTGGGGATCAAAACGGACTTATTGAATTATAGACATACCAGGTTCCTATCATGAATGTCTTATATTAGTATAGTGTGGATGTTAAAACTAATTAACAAATTAATTCATAAGCAAATACTGAGAAGTTAGTACCAAATCTATAGTTTATTCTGGTTTCTTCTAATTTTGGTTTTGAGCCTAGTCTCCCCAGCCCTATTCTGGTTTCTTTATTTCTTCTTTCTTCCCCCCAGGATTCCACATTCTATTTAGTTGTCATGTCTCCTTAGGGTCTTCCTTGTCTGAAACACTTGATCAGTTGCCTTTGGTTGCATTGGAATTTAATAAACAGACAGACACACAGACGCAGACCACACACACACCACAGACACACACAAACAACACAGACAGAAAACATATAGACATGATCTACACACATACATACACAGACTATACACACAGAGAGACACAGATTAAGAGACACAGACTAAACACACACAGGCAACCCATACACACACACAGACTATACACACAGAGAAAACACACACACAGACATAGGCAACCCATACACACACACTGACACAGACTACACACACACAGACATAGGCAACGCATATACACACACCAACAGACTACACACAGAGACAATACACACACAGACATAGGCAACACAT